GCCCTCCCTGCTCCTCCACCGCGGCGTAGCCACCCGAGCCCTGGAGCACCGCCGCTATGGCCACACCGTCCATCGCCCATTCGGGGCCCGGTCCCTCGCGAGCGTGCGCGCACCTCCTCACACTCCGCGGCTGCTCCCGTTCCTCCCCGTAGCACCGGCGCCCCTCCTCCTCCTCCTCGCGTCGCGTCCCCATCATGGCCGTCTTTGTCGTCGCCCCATGGCGAACACCCGATTCACCAAAGAATGCGACATTGCTTGCTAAGGCACCACCACGCCAGGAGCACCGTCGCCATGACCGCCCTCCCTTCCGGTCCAAATTCGTCATACACAAGGTATATCCCTCCAATTCCTTGAATCCCTAGCACTGTGAGGAAGTTATAGAGAGCTTTGAAGTAGATCGGAAGCCATTAGTTCAACGGTGCACACGTGCGTGTTGTTTTCATCGCTGGCCGCTGCGCGCAGTCCTTCCATGGACGCCGCCATGGGTGTGTCCGTGATCAGCTCGGCTCAGAGCACCCCAAGCCAAGCACGACTACTAGCGGCTCCGCCTCAACCTCCCGAGCCCCGCGCGTACGCTACTAGGGTGGAGCCAGGCCCGACGCCCTCGCCAAGCGCGCGTCGTCCTTCCCACCGCCTGCGCGCCTCTCACATGGCGTGGCCGAGAGCCTACCAGGGGCTCCTCTCAGAGGAAGCGCCCGACCGAGTCGAGCCTTTGCTTACTAAGCTGATTCCATCGACATATTCGTCTCCTATTTGGTTTCTTCATTGAGCTGTACAAATTCAGGTAAATACTGCTTCTGCTGCTGTTCAATTCCTTTGCATGCATGAATTGATGAATGGTATCGTGCTTTTACTAATCGTTGTGTTCCAACTTCCAGTAGATGAAATTGCACATAATCTGCTCATGTACAAGTGGAGTGGAGTTGGAGTTGTTTTGTTTTTTTTCTGGATGATGAACACCAGTGCTTAAACCTGTTACTTTGGTCCTTGTGATAATGCAATGGCCAGGGCTTTTGCCTTGAATTTTTTTTAAAAAAAATTGCACATAATCTTTGTATTCTTTTTGTGAGGGATATAGGCTGTTCGGCAGGACTGAAAAATAAGTCAAAATACTATTCAACATTGTTGTGAGAGAAAAATCTTTATTACATCTAGAAATCACATTCATGTGAACAATGTCATCTTTGTCAAGTCTTGTTGGCATTATTGACACCAAATTTCAAATTCACGCCGTAGCAAGTTTCTGTTGATTGCAACACTGAAGCTACATTGTGCTTCTATACCTCAGATATTTGCATAGGCTCGATGTTTAATTGTTTATGCTTGTGTAAATCATAGATCTGATCCTTTTGATAACAGTGGCAATACTGGTGAAGCTGAACTTTTGTGTGACTTTGAAGTTGAGCTAGATAATCATATGAATACTGACCCAAGAATCAATGATGATGCAGATATGACTGAAGATGACTGGGGAAGCAACGCATCGAAAAGTGGATAACAAAAGCTGTTTCAGAGGTGTTTCTGCTACTATTTTCCTCGCACTGCTGAGCTCTGAGCAGGATGCAGGATGATCACCTGGCCCTGGCTGCTTCACACTTGGCAGTTTCTTTAACCTCAGTTCACAGTGCTTCAAATGTGATTCACAGAAACTTCATTTTGACCTGCAGTCTTCGATTGTAATAGTTGGTGGGGTACAATCAAATGGAATTTGGCAGATGCAAAGTTCGGGCTGTAGAGCTGTCCAGTGTGGCCTCTTGTACAGAGTCTTTTTAGGGGTGTTCTGTTTCTGATGATAATTTCGAGTAGGGCTGTTCACCCACAGTTTCAGGCGGTTTAGGCTGCAAAGCCAAGCCTGCAGCCCGTCGTTAGCTGGTTTGCGTCAGCGGTTTTGCTTGTTTAGATGTTTTGAATCTCTTCGCCCGTGCGTCCCCGGAGGCCACGCCACAGACGCACAGTGCAGCCGACGAGCCGTGGCGTCGCGCGCACCTCCGACGATTCTGTCAGATTGGAACTGTACGATTTTTCATTGCTCGAGCACGTAGACGTGTGCCCTGATCTCCCCTCATCAATTGACGAAATCATCCATCTCACGCTAGCTCTCGACTCTCGAGGGCGCGCCTCTTGTTGATTTCTCTTTCAGGCTGTGGTGTTGCGCCACGCTAGGTATCGTTTCCCACTTTCTGATTCAACATTCTCCCTATAGGTCCCACTTTTAATAAGTCATTGCACATGGGAAATTTTGATGCTTTTGGTTAAGTGTGGAATCATTTTCATCCTATTTTTTTTATAGCATCTTGTTTTTTAACCCATCCACATCTCTACTATAATGGATCAATCAAAATTATGCTGGGTCCTTCAGAAAAACGTTCAGGGCCTCTAGCCATTATACACAAAGAAAAATACACATAAAAATTCATTTGCGTTAAAATGAAGGGCTAATAAAAACATGAAAAAAAAACACCGGACGACTGGTCTTTAATGTGTGATGCCACCCACCGCGCCCTCCATGCCACGCACGCGGGCTTCAAACGCGCCCCACGGAACCAAGCCGCCCCTTCCTCCCCGACGTCCTCTCTCCCACATGCGCGACTCGCAGACTCCTCTCCCCCACGCGCACGCGCGCGACTCCTCTCCACTGCGACATAGGCGCGGCTAGGGTTAGGGTTTTGGGCAACCGGTGGCAGGCCCCGAATCCGGCGGTGGCAGGCCAGGTCACGGCATCGCGGCGTCTCGTCGAGGCGGCCCAACGTGGCGGGGCACCCTCGCTACGGCGCGCAGAGGCGCGGATAGGCCTGGTCGCGGCGTCGCGGCATCCCGGTGGGGCGGCTCAGCGTGGCGGCGCACCCGCGCGACAGCGCCGTGGTGGGGGCAGGCCCGGTCGTGGCATCTCGGCGTTCCGGCGGGGCGTCCCAGCTCAGGCGCCCCAGCGTGGCGGCGCACACGCGCGACGACGCCAGAAGCCCCCAAGCACGGCGACGCAACAGTGTGGGCGGACCCACCCATAGGGCGAGGTCCCCTCCGGGCGGATCCCAATCCGTGCGGCGCTCAATCTAGGGGAGTCGAGGACTCAAGGTTGAAGATGACGAGAGGCAGGCCTGGCCGCCTCCATGGGCCCTCGGCAGCTCCCGCAGTCCGGCCTCCCGTCCCGAGGAGCCGCTGCTTCTGCCTTGTGCACCTGCTGCGGCTTGTTCTGCTCCCCGTCCGTCGCTGGTGAGTCTTGTGCTAGCTCCTTTTCTTTGTTTTCAATTCAACTGAGAGTGAATCGTTTCAGACTTTGAGCTACGCATGCAGCATGTGGTAGATTTTCCGGATGATGGAGCCGGCTAGCCGGCCACTGCGGTTTGCCAATTGCCATGTGCCCTGATGCCATCCTGGCACTCTCGTGGCCTCAACACAATATGATCCTGTTGGCACTGGGATTTGGAAGGATCTTCTCAAGGACAACCAAAGAGCAAAGAAAACCATTTTATTTGCTCTGACTAGGACTGGGACCTCATCCAACAAGAAACACATAAACAAATATACCAATAGCCTTCTTGAAAATGAAATCTACAAATTGATGTAGATTTTGTATTGAAAAGATGATGCAGATTGCAATTCCGTCCATATGGCACAGGTTAGTGTTCTGCACGGATATTAAAAAAGTTGTGTAGAGAAGATGACACTTACTGTGCTGTTAATACTTCTGCCTTTGCCCTGCGGGCTGCAGTTCTTTTTTGTTACAATTTATTTAGAAAGGTTCGCGAACTCGTGATTAGTGTTTCATGCTTTCGCTAGATTGAGCACCGAGGCTGTACAGTATGTGACAGTTTTTCATGAAATACAGGATTACTGACGATATTGATGCTAAGGAAGTGGCTTTCGTCCAGCATGTATATATCTGATGTTCACAAGCTCTGAGATGCGTTTAGTTTAGTTTTTAGAAGTGATTTGAGATTTTTGTCATTTTGCTTTTAGCTATCGGGAAACTGTCATTTTTGCTTTTTAGAAGTGTTCATGCTGTTTACTTAACAGGTCCTAATCCAAAATTTGATTTGTGCATAAAGTTTGACTGATGCTTCTATAGTAATCTTTTACAACGTTTTCAGTGAGATAAGGTTTATGATAACACTGGAATGCTAGCTTTGCTACTGGGATACTATTATCAGAAGCAGATTGGAATTGGAATTTGTAAATGAATCATTTTTTTAGGAACATGTAAGTGCGGTTGCATTTAGGTTTTGACACTCATGAGCGATGTGTTCTGCGGGAGATAGGAGCGCTCATGTGGTAGGGTTATTGTAGCTTTGCGCGATCGTGTAGTAGCCTCATGTGTAGGGTTATTGTAGCTCTCTGGGAATTTATTACAATTGTGTTCTCAATGTCCCAAATGCTCATTTCTAGACTGGTAGATATAACTTACAATCGTTAATGCTTGTTTTTTTCATAACACCTTCTATTTGTTTGGTGTCTCCATTTAGTTTTCCTCTGTAAACATTGTGTTTTCATTTTGTTTGCAGCCATATCTTGTTCATGTCAATACTTTTTCTGAAGAAAGTATTTATGCTTGGATATTTTCTTGCGCAGTTAACCATAGATTCCATACTGCAAGTACAAGCTCTGCGTGATACCCCTTGAAACAGGAAAGAAACAATCATGTGTATTTCTTGTTAACAACAAGAGGAAGGCCTATTTTGCAAAGACAATGGATGACAGGTCCATCATAAAGCAGATCAAGAAAACAGAGTTAGTCATCATTTATTCATTTTGCCCCTGATTACTTTAAGCACGTTTACCATTCTCTGGACATTGGAAGCCAAACTTGCCTTGCTAAGATATTGGGAATCTATCAGGTAGTTATATCGAGCTTGTGTTTGATTTCAATTTGTTTTTCTAGCTTTTTTTTTTCATCTGGACTCACTTGCCTGTTCAGGATAAGCAAATTAGGCAAGTCACGGAGATAAAGATCGACTTGATGGTGATGGAAGGTCTTCTCTTTGGCCACAATATTTCACGAGTCCATGACCTCAAAGGCACTGTTTTTTCACGATGCGTCACTGACTCAAAATGATAATGATATTGTTTACCTCGACCAAAATTATGTTGAGTACATGGGTTCTCCAATCTATATTGGTGGTAGAACAAGGAACCTTTTGCAACATGCAATCTGGAATGACACATCTTTCCTCACTGTAAGTATAAAGCACATCTTTGCCGCAATTACTGAAAATTATGTTTTCAATAAAAACATTTGTAAACATAATTATTGTACTTGCAGTTGGTGAATGTCATGGATTATTCTCTCCTTGTGGGAGTGGACAAAGGGAAGCATGAACTTGTGTTTGGCATCATTGATTAAATGAGGCAATATACTAGGTACAAACAACTGGAGACATGGTGAAGACTTCTAGATATTGTGTATTATATAATATCTAGATATTGATTCATGAAAAATAAATATGAATTTTATTATTAATTGAATTATGGTTGCACTGTATCACGAATTGTTATATTCTTAATTCTTAATACAATATATGAATTGAGATGTTTCGTGTATGATTTTATTTAAAATTTTGTTGATTGGCAAACAAATATTTTCTTACAAATATTTTAGTTATTTGGTTAGCGTTAGCACGGGCATTAGGAATAGGCGTGCCGAGTCGAATAGTCGATGGCGCAAAAATAGCTGTCGGCTGGGACGCTGGGGGAGGCTCTATTTCTATTCATTATAATACCAGGGACGGCTAGATACACGTGGACGTCTAGTGTACATGTCTATTTCTCCCTTAAATAAACCAGTATGAACTTACAATGCGCAATATAGAAAAGGTAAAAAATTTATTGATATAAAATATATTTTGAGAGTTGATGAACCTAGATTACATATTTCTAAAAGTTAATGGACCTTGATGTATTTTACTCTCTTTTTTCAAACAGAATAATATACAAGAAAAATATAATGCTTTCGAGCAGAATGAACGTAGAAGACTAAGAATCTGTTTTCACTCTTAACCTCGAGCCTGTTGGGCTTAATCTTCTTAATGATTTATATGGCACACATCGTGCTTTGATTCGTGCACGCGTGATTTAGCTGCCGAATGAATTAAAAGCCTCGGTTTGTTTGTTTGTTTTGGCAGAAAAGCCTCAATTTGGTGTCCCACTATGTTTCTGGCATGAGGGCACATGTGGCTCTTATTGAGCGCGCCTGAGAGAGTCTATAGTTGGCCAAACGGACCGCCCGGCACGGCACTAGCACGGGTACGCCCAAGCACGGCAATACGTGGCACGGTAGACTAGCCGGGCCGTGTCTGTTAGTGCCGCCGTGCCGAGATACCGGCCTAGGTACGGCACTATCAGGTCTTAGCCGTGCCGTGTCACTGGGCACGACGGCCCAGCAGTGCCCGTGCCGGCACTGACACTATAGGTGCCCAACACCTCAAACTGATCAGAATCACACAAACACAGGCAGAGAACAAAAAAACATTTTACATGTTCAGAGAACTTATCAAAGACTCAAAGTCACATAATCAAAGAACTTATCAAAAACTCAAAGTCACATAAAGTTACATGTTCAGAGAACTTATCAAAGACTCAAAGTCACATAATCACACAAACACAGGCAGAGAACAAAATAACATTTTATTGGGAGTTTTAGTGCAATGGCTGCCTCATTAAAAACATGTCTAGGTAAAATTCACCCTTGTGAGAAACCCTAGACAGGAAAAAAGAGTACAACCCAGCTCCAATTATAAAGTTCATCAAAGTCCGGTCCATAGTCCATAATATTACAGTCCCATTACATAAATGATAACTAATTAAGATAAAGTTCTTCAAATGCTTCTTCAAGCTCCTTGTCCTCCACCATGTGTTGCAGCCGAGCTTCAGCAACCTCCCAATCTTTGATGCAGGTCAGCATCTCCACCATTTCAGGCTTTATCTTCCTCCGCCGCTCCTCGATGATCCTGCCAGTCATACTAAAAGTGGATTATGAAGATATGGTTGAAACAGGAACAGTTAAAATATCTTTAGTCATGATTGACAACACTGGATATGTGAGTTTGTGCTGATGCCACCAGTCCAAGATGTTAAAATCATCATCTAAATAATTCAGTGTCATAGTCCAAGTAAGAAACAAGTTCAGAAACATTAGAACCTGAAGAACTTGCAGCCTGTAGTAGGGCAGTTGCAGATGTATCTCTAGCCATGATTAGAGTAGCAGCTGCAGTATGCATACCACCACCAACAACAACATCACTATCATCATCATAAATTTTATCCTAAGCAAACCTTTTTTTACCAGATAGGTTAGGAGAGGCAGTCCTTCTCAACCTAACACCTCTATATTTCTCCTCATACTTATTGTAGACATCAGTAAGTCGAGCTCTAGTGCCAACCTGGTAAGTACTATAATCTATACTAGTAAGGGTACCTAACCTCCTAAGCACTCTAATGAAACCTTTCATTTTAGCTCTGGGGTTCAGGATGAATGCAAAAGAATAAAGCAAAGGTATGTCCCTCCAGTATTTATTATATTTGTCTATCATAGGTTGAACCATAGGTCTGATGTGATTATCATTAGCATAATTCTTTAGGTGCATAGCAATCTTAACAAGATAATGAATCATGAGTGGAGATGTAGGATAGTACACACTAGACAATGCAACTATAGCAACATAAAATAGTTCAAGAAATTTAAGCACTTTTTCTGCCATAGCCCAATGGTCATCAGTTAAAAGCAACTGACCACCTTCAGCCCTAGGATATTGAGCATGGATGAAAGTAGTGAATGAGACCTTATGTGGAAACAAATGCTTAAGCATTAGATATGTAGAATTCCACCTAACTTCCATGTCTAGTTGAAACTTTCTAGGCCTAACACCAGTGGTAAAACGGTAACTTTTATATGCAGCAATTCTCTGGTTAGATGAGTTTAAGAAAGATATTGCAATTCTAAATTTTTCAATCAAAGGCTTAAGAGCAGTTAGGACCTCCTTAACAATCAAATTGATAATGTGACATGCACAACGCTGATGCAAGAACATACAATTAACTGCATTGTCTAAATCATCACTATCATTAGATGATGCATTGACCACGACTTCAATACCAAGATATTTAGAAAGAACAGGTCTAAGTTTTTGCATGGCTGATACATTAAATGATGCATTATCCAAAGTAACAGCAAATACTTTTCCAGTCAAACCATAATCAGCAAGCACAAATGCAACAAGATCAGCAATGTTGTCCATTGTGGGAACAATCAATAAGCCTAAGACCAAGCACTCTCTTCTCTAGTTGACAATCAGAGTTTATGTAGTGAGCAACAACATTAAGGTAGTCCTCTTTGGCATTACCAGACCAAATATCAGAGGTTAGACACACACACAATTAACACTAGCAGAACTAACAGTCTCAACAAGCTTAGCCTTCCAATTAGAGAAGTATTTAAGCATGTCTCTAGTGGTGGTTTGCCTAAAGACTGAAACAAATTTAGGATTATGAACAGTTCTAATGTATTCTTCAAATGCATATGATTCTCCCAAAGAGATAGGAACATCAAGCCTAGCAAGCAATCGAACCAGTTGAGTACGAGCAACAATAGGACAGTACTCCCAATTGCGCATACTACCATCAGGATTAAAAAAGATCTATGACTGAGACATGCGAGTTTTTTCACGCCTCCTAGGGCATTTATCCCTATGCCGGGTGAGGTGACCAGTGCCACCACTAGAGAGCCCAGAGTATTCCTTAGAGCAATGGATACACTTAGCTCCGTACCTGACCTTCTTACCATTCACTATTTTGAAGAGTTTCTTGAAATCAAGCCACACTGCTGAGGTAGAGGGACGTGACCGCTTGCTGTTATTCTCTTCCCCGTCCACTGCTTGATCATCGCAGGGCTCGAGGACGATGGGAGCTTGAACGTTACGGCTGAACAGCTCCGCGGCATCCTCGCGCAGGTCATCCTCGTCATCATCTCTGGCCAACCTGCACAACCGCCTCTCTTGGTTGGAACCGACCTCAAGCGTCTCGTCATCGGATCCAGCCATCGCCACTCGTCGGCGCCCCGGTCCCTCAACGGCTTTAGACAAAACAGAGCAAGGGTTAGTAGAGATTGAGGGTTAGGGTTAGGGATTGAGCAAGGGTTAGGTCGACGACAACTTACCTTCAAAGCCGGAGCACCAGAGTCATCGGCGAGGTCGACGAGGCACGGATCCGGTGAGCACAGACAACGAGGGACAGATCCGGTAAGGAAACTGACGGATCCGGCGAGGTCGATGACGGATCCGATGAGGACGAAGCGAGATCAAGGGTTAGGGTTAGGGATTGTGCCAGTGCCGGCCAGCGGTGGCTCCAGAGGCCACCGGAGAGCGAGAAGAAGAGAGGAAGTCAGAGGCAAGAGAGGAGAGCGAGTCGCCGACGCAGCGACGCCGACTAGCCGAGAGAGGAGAGCAAATGAATTAGGGCGACGCTACGACGGAGCGAGATGCGGCCAGCCCGCCGGGATGGGTTTTATACCCCTATTCCAACGGTCGGATCCAACGGTCTGATGGGAGCGAGACCGGAGATCCGATGGATCCGACGAGGAAACCGACGGATCCGGTGAGGTCAACGATGGATCTAGTGAGGACGAAGCGAGATCAAGGGTTAGGGTTAGGGATTGAGCAAGGGTTAGGGTTAGGGATTGTGCCAATGCCGGCCAACGGTGGCTCCAGAGGCCACCGAAGAGCGAGAAGAAGAGAGGAAGTCAGAGGCTAGAGAGGAGAGCGAGTCGCCGACGCCGATTCACCGAGAGAGGAGAGCGAGACGAGAGAGGAGCGGGCGAGACGACGCTGCGGGGGAGAGCCGAGAGCGAGGCGAGAGAGATAGAGAGTGAGAGGAGAGCAAATGAATTAGGACAACGGAAGGAGACGCGGCCGGCCGGCCGCGAACGGTTTTATACCCCCGATTCCAACGGCCGGATCCAACGGTCCGATGGGAGCGAGGTCAAGGATCCAACGGCCACCTATGGCCGAGCCGTGCCGCTGCCAGGCCGGCCCATATAGCGTGCCGTGCCCGGGCCGACACTACGGGCCAGAATGGCGGCCCAGGCACGGCACTAAGGCCGGGCCGGGCTAGGCACTGGCACGAAGGCCGTCGGGCCGGGCCGTTCCTGGGCCGTGCTGATTAGTGCCGTGCTAGGGCTGGCCCGTAGTGCCTGGGCCAAATGGCCAACTATAGGAGAGCCGGAGACTCGAAATCCTGTGGGCTGGGCCGGATTAAGCCTAGGCCAATTGAATTGCCACGCAAAGTTCTTAGCCAAGTAGAGAATCTTTCTCCACGGAGGATCACGTTCCCGTAGTCTGTATATGAATCATCATTGCGGCGGCGCGTGTATATGCTGGACAAGGAATGCTGACCTTTAGAGGTGTGACTATATATATAATAAATAAATATAAATAGAACAATGCAGAAAATTTGGAAAAGCAAAGTCCCATTCAAATTTGTCGTGCGAACTAAATAATGTTTGTACTTCCGTCAACCATACGGATTCCAAAATTAACTTACAATGCGCAATAAAAAAATTGATTTAAAAGTATAGTTTAAGTCAATTTTTTTACTTTTAAGTCATAATTTCAGAGCGGAATATATGTAGAAGATAAAAATAATATATTACAGCGAAATGAACACCAAAATCTTATTTGGTGCGCCTGCATCGCTACCCCTAGCGAGTCATGACGCGACAACGCCGACGAATCTGAAGTAGGAAGTGGGCGGGACGGCTAGTGGCGAGGTTGTTACTTTAAACACTGAGCTATAGCCATGCATGTCTAAATACCCGAACTATATTGCAATTCAAATGTTTCTTGTATCCACTTAACAATAAGAGGTGATGAAGCTATTTTTGACAATTATAGCAAAAGGCCTAATTTATCATACAATGTAACATTTATTTTCAATAAAAATTAGAGGCACATGTATACTGATGTTTACAATGTGTCATCAGTAATGCGCAGCATATGATACTTTGGGAATCAGTATAATTACGACATGATAAGCATAGGCCAAGAGGCCACCACTAATAATAATGGAAAATCTAAGTAATTTGGTTGGAAACAAAAAGCGTATGACCAATGCATAGTAGAGAACATAAACAAAAAAAAATGACAGACAATTAAAGTTTCTGCAATCAATATAACCCAAAGCTCATGAGTAAATTTGTTGTACCGTGTGTTGATTCTTAGACAGATGGAAACAACAAATCTCATTAAGTAGGGTGAAACCTACAAGTTCAGAGTTCATACAAAAGCGAAATAAGTCAGCTCTTCTCTGGTAGTGGAGGCGACGACGGCGCTAAGCGGACGGTGGGGACAAAAGGATAGGCGGTGCCGCCGGCGAGGGCGAGGAGTCGCCGGCAAACTCTTCGATTTGGGTTAGGGAAAGGAAGGATGGTTCGACGAGGCTGGGTGGCAAACAAGGAGGTCGCCGACAGCCCGAGCGGTGGTCTCGGCGGCGGGAGGGAGGAGGAAGATGGGTTGAGAGAGAGAGAGAGAGAGAGAGAGAGAGACGTGTGCGTCGCTATTGCTCCCAACGCGCGGGCGTCTGCTAAGGGAGTCTAAATGAACGTAGAAGACCATAAGAATTTGTCGCCGGCAGCCCGAGCGGTGGTCTCGGCGGCAGGAGAGAGGAGAAAGATGGGTAGTGTGTGTGTGAGAGAGAGGAGGAAGACGTGTGCGTCGCTATTGCTCCCAAAGCGCGGGCGTATGTTAAGGGAGTCTAAATGAGCGTAGAAGACCATAAGAATCTGTTTTTTCACTCTTAACCTCGTGCCTGTTGGACTTAATCTTCTTAGTGATTTATGATTCTATATATAGCACACACACCGTGTTTTGATTCACGCATGCGTGATTTAGCTACCGAATGAATTAGAAGCTGCAGTTTGGTCTTCTTTTGGGCAAAAAAAGCCTCAGTTTGGTACTTTGGTGCCCCCCACTATATGTTTCTGGCATGCCGCACATGTGGTTCTGATTGGACGCGTGTCGGTGCGTGGCCGAGCCGGTGGCTCGAAAGCCCCTGGGCTGGGCCGTATTAAGCCTAGTACAATTAAATTGCCACGCAAAGTTCTTAGTCCTAGTAGAGAGACTTTCTCCACGCAGGATCACGTTCGCGTAGTCCGTAGATGAATCATCGTTGCGGCGCGAAGAAGTCCAATTTACCTCCCCAACTATCGTAGTCATTCCATTTTCCTTCTTGATCTACAAAATCAGTTTTTAAAGCCTCCTCAACTATTAAAAACCATTTTATTTTTGCATCCTAGCGTTTTTATGGTGATTTTGCTGATGTGGCTTCACGTCAGAGGAGGTAAATCCGATTAAGTTAGAAGTGGAAGGAGGAAAACCGGACTAGAAATATTTAATAATAAATATGTAAAAATTAATAAAAAAATTTAAAAAATTGCCGATGCACCCTGTTTAACATATTTAATTAAGTTTTACAAACAATTAAATTTAATTAAAATTTAGTGCAATGAATTATGGAGGGCAATGTGGCATAAAAATCTAGATGGTTGCGCATGGGTCATGATATTCATAGAGATTTAATTAAGTGACATGAACAAGACATTTGAAGCTAGGCACCATAACATACAGGTTGATTTTACAAAAAAAATCTAAAACAAGTTTCATAATTTTCAATCTAAAACAAAATTTCTATGAATTTTCTAAGCTTAAACCAGGTTTTAGCTATTTTTTATAACTTTTAGCTATTTTTTATAAAATATTTCTAGTCCAATTATACTTTCTGCTTAGTTCGATTTATCTCCTTTAACGTGGCACCAAGTCAGCAAAACTACCATAAAAACCACTCAAAGTGTAAAGGTGAATGGTTTTTTAAAAGATGACACTACTACATAATGATTATTGGAGGCGGGCGATTTTGGTCTCTAGAGGCGGGCATTGTAACCACCTCCAATCAAAGGTCACGGTTAATCCATGACCTACGGAGGCGGTTGCTTTGCACGCCTCCGTAAATCAAGCACGAAAAACAAAAAAAGAAAAACCCATGGCAGGCCCACCAAGCCCATCCATGGACCCGCCGAGCCCATCCATGGGCCGCCGTCGCTCGCCGGTGCCTAGATCTGGCCTTCCACCGCCAGGATCCAGCCTCCCGCCGCCGGATCTGGCCGCACGCTGCCGGATCGAGCCACCTGCCACCGGATCGAGCTGCCTGCCGCCGGATCCACCGTAGGGAGGAGCGCCGCCGGGAGGGGAGGAGGTCCGCCGGGACTGGGAGGAGAGGGGGCCGCCGTGCGCCGCCGAGAGTGGAGGAGGGACCGCGCGCGAGAGGAAGAGGGAGGCGTCGCGCCGCCGACATCCGTCCTCCGCGCGTCGTGCCGCTCGGGAGGTCGCGAGGAGACAGAGGTCTCGAATAGGGAGGGGGAGATCTCGGAGGAAGGAAGGGGGAGGAGGGGCGGCGCTGGGGCTGTCTCGGAGGAGAGGGAGGTCGCGAGGAGGGAGAGACGGAGTCGTGGCTCGGTGTCGGCATCGGAGAGAACAGGAAGGGGAAGGGCGCCGCTCGATGTCTGAGAAAGAGAGAGGAGTGAACCCTAAGTCGTCTTCTATTTATATTTGAAGGCGTTTATTGGGCCCGCCTAGCCCTGTTGGGCCTTGGCCTTTTTGGAGGCGGACATCTTTAGCCAACCGCCTCCGAAAATATATTATTTTGGAGGCGGTTGTCTTAAAGAGGACCGCTTCCATAAATCATTTTTTTGGAGACGGGCAAAAGTGACCGCCTCCGTAAATAAAAATGCCACCTCCATTAATCGTCTGGTATTTTCCGAGGCGGTTGAATTTTTTATCTTCTCCGTTAATTAAAGTGCAACGTAATGCAAAATCAATTCTGTAGTAGTGTGAGGGAGGTTAAAAACCGGTTTTGTAGATAAGAGAGGAAAATCGGACAAACGCGATAGTTGAGAGAGGTAAATTGAACTTTTTTTCATTTGCATCGGCACATGTATATGCTTGACAACAAATGCCGACCTTCAAAAGAGTGACTATATAATATAAATAAAAGAATGCAGAAAATATGGAAAAACAAAAGTCCCTCTCAAATTTGTCGTGCGAACTAAATAATATTTGTACTTGTGTAAATAGTATCCATTCGAGGAAACAAATTTTAGGCAATTTCCAGGCCCTCGGATTCAAATTATTAGACATTTTTGTTTTTAGATTAATAATTTTGAACAGAGGAAACAATTACGTTTCGAATTGTCAGATGGTGAACAAGCAAATTATTTCAAGCTTGGTCACATCTTAACAATTCGACTTTCTTTTTGATAATAAATACCTCGAGCATTCCTCAAAAAGAAAACCTTGATCGGCATGTTGTTAGGTGACATGACACCTACGCCTAGGCAAAGCAGACTTGGAGTAAAGCTAGTGATGCCGAGAATTTTTTCCAGGCCTCGTAATCGGATCGGATCCTCTCATGAAGTTCTGATAGCAATCGGCAGTTCGACACCGATGTCTATCGACTATTATTATGCATATATATACGCTTATATACACATTTAATTGCATACGGAGTACTTATTAAAACCGAGATAGTAGAAGCACAACGTACGCGCCAATAATCTACTAGCCTACTAGTAGTAATCTAGGGCACGGCGGCGCGGCGTTACGACGATATGATGGAGGTGTCTGGTGGCAGCATCGACGCTCTTAGTGACGACAACCTCACCGACATCCTTGTCCGCCTTGACGCGGTGTCCGTGCTCCGCTGCCGCGCCGTCTGCAAACGCTGGCGCCGCGTGGCCACCGACCTGTCCTTCCTCGCCGCCCACGCCGCCAGCCGCCCGCCCGAGATGATCGTCGAAACTGAATACGGCTTCATGCGCAGCACCGTCCCTCTCTCTCCAACAGACATGCCAACGATCGCTGGCGACGACGACGGGCATCATCGCTACCTTTTCGAACCGCGCCCGCTAGCCGCGGACGGGAACGGCAAGAGCGCCGACTTCGAACTGTACGCTTCGCTTGATGGCCTCCTTGTGCTGAAGCAGTGGCGGTACGACCCTCAGAACCTCTCCACGTTTACTTACGTCATCTGCAACCCGGTCAGGAGGCAGTGGGCCAACCTACCTGTGCCCGTGCCCCGCCGCGGCGCCACCGACGTCGTCACCTGCGGCTTCTACTTCCACGCCTCGTCCGGCGAGTACCGCCTCCTCCTCCACTGTGTCGTATTAAGAGATCGGCGCGGACACGGGGAGCGCTATTGCTGTGTCGTCTCGGTTGGCAGGGCACTGCCTCGGCGACTGCCTCACGCTCCTCCTTCAGACGATAAGCGTATTCCCTACTACGAGAACCCCGTGTCTTACCGCGGGACCCTCCATTGGTTGTCTGGACACCCCCAAGGCAGCAGCACCGGCAAGATGCTGGCGTTCGACACGGCTTCCGAGACGTTCCGGCTGATGCCGCGGCCGCCTGCAGTTCCGGAGCCGACGACGACAGAGACAGATGCGGCGATGAGCGATCTGCTGGAGCTGGACGGAGAGCTCAGCGTCGCGACTATATACGGCGCGAAGACGCTGAACATTTGGGCACTGCAGGACTATGAGGCAGAGAAGTGGACGCTGCGCCATCGGCTCAAGGTGCAGCCGCCGCCGCCGCCGCCGCCACGGTCATTGGGCGGCCGACACCCCACTATCATGGGCAATGCACCCCGTGGGAGCAGCGCCATACTCGTCGGATTCCCGCCCACTCGGGCGGTCATGGCGTACTCTCTTAATAAAGACAATAATAAGGTGGACAAAGAAATCAATTTTGGAGGTTTGGTTTCCTTCAAGGTATTCAGCGAGAGCCTCGTGCCGCATGCTTTCTTCGACTCGCCTGACACGGTGCCACTAAACTTTTCAAATCCTCTGTTGAATGAGAGGATGGGCAGCGCTGCCTAGCTATATATATCTGCATCAAGTTATTTTACTATTACCCGTTGATGAAGCCTTGAAAATCTGCATTGATGGTCAACAGGACGGGCTCTCCATGGGCTAACCATGCCCATAAGACATCAGAGCCATTCATTTGTTAGGAGTTATTAAGTTTGTAGTTCTAACTTTATCCAAATCTCCTTTTTGTCCCTTAATTTGGTCAATGATTTCTGGATATTTGTAGAGTTTAATAATAACGTTGTAAGATTTATGTTTCTATATTAATCATGAGAAATATGTTCATAATACGTGTGTAATACCCTCAAATTTTCTCCTTTCGAAATAGATACAAATTGATTTAATTTTGTATTTTTGTGCTCATGAAAACATAGTAAAATAATATTTTCACTAAATTAAAATTTATCTTAAGGTGTAGCAACATTGTTGTGCATACATGCTGATGCATATTATTTATTGTACTGAGTGGTGTCGGTGTTTTGGACCGGCGGGCCCTCAACCAACTAGTGAAAATGCACTACGTGCCCCTAATTCCGGATGGTGATGCAAAGAGACGCAAGGTTTATACTGGTTCAGGCAATAGGCGCCCTACGTCCAGTCTGAGAGATCGATCTTGTATTCCTTGCACCGAAATGCTTGTAGTAGGGGGTTACAAGCTGGACGAGAGAGGGAGCTAGTCCCAGGTCTCTGCGTGGAGCGACGTGGGCTGCTTGAGACGTTGCCCTCAGACAGCGGGGGAGCGTGTGTGAGTGTTCGTCCGTCTATGTGTCTCTGTGTTCGCCTGTGCGTGTGTGCGTCTATCTCCCTTCCTCCCCCTAGAAACGACCCGATCACTCCCTTTTATAGTTGAAGGGGGGGACAGGGGTGATACATGTGCTCGTTATGCGGCGGTTCGTGAGCGGAGGTGGTATGCCCAGCCCTATGGCGGCATGGTCGATGGAGCGGTCTTGTCCTTGATATACTGGAGCGACGCGCCGGTCACGCCTAATCCTGTGCGACGTGGGAGCTCTTGTGGCTTGGCGCAGGGTATGGTGCGTACTGCAGACGACGTGCTGGTCGTTGTACTCCCTCCATACTGGTATTAGAAGTCGTTTAGGACATGATTGTGCATACCAAGGAGTCATTAATTAGGGGTAAGTTTTCCCTGTCTACCCCTATTAAATGCAATTGCGGTATGTTTCATATGAGAAACAAACCAACGGTGGACTGGCTAGGCCAGCGTGGTGGGTGCGGGGACCATCGCGGTGCAGGTTCGATCCCCTACCACGTCGTATTTTTTGCTTGTTTTTGTTTTGCATGTGTTTGCATGGCACTGTGCGGGACGTGCACGCTGGTGCCTGGGCGTGTCTTTTTCCGTTTTTCCGTCGATGGCGCGCTTCGTTTGTTTGCGTTTCGTTGAACGCGCGCTGGACGCCTAGCTGCGCGATCGCTGGACGTTTTGCCGCGCCAAGTTTTCCTTGTTTTCGCTGGACGCTCGGCTGCGACGACGATTGGGTTCCTGTTCGTATTTATACGCCCGGCCGGCTGCAAATTAACAAGCTTAAACAAAACACCCGCACAAATGGCCAGCTCACTTGCTACCTTCGATCTAAACGTGCCTGTACCGAAAGCTGAAGAAGGCAACGCTGGGTTAGACCTCAACGCTGGGAGTGGGAGGCGAGGCGATTAAAAGGGAGGCGAGGCGAGGCGGCGGAAGCTGAACGTGTTGGAGTGTTAGCGAGGCAACGACTTAATGATGCACGCCAGTCGAAGCGACGAGGGCAAAGCAGTCCAAACTCACGCCCGCGCACCCCCGGCGACTTCCTTTGCTACGCGTGGCTATCTTCCCAGAACGACTTCTAATACCAGTACGGAGGGAGTATGTTGATGACGTAGAGAGCCGAGGCCCAGTCAGTGCCGAGGCCGAACCATTATGGGGGGCTCGGCGGGCGCGAATCCCGAGGCTGCCGAGACCCCGAAGCGGATAGTCGAGGCTCGGATGGGAGCAGCTGGTCCTGTACACTGATTCCGAGGCTACAGGACCCGGACCTGACTCTCCACGCCACGCCGTCCTTGGAGCAGGTAGGGTTAGGCAGCACAATGCCGCATGGGTGTCCGTCGTGGGCACAGTGTCGAGCATAGCGACCGGTAACCCCTGCCCCGTCCTGCCCTGGACGGCATGGCGTCGATGTGACTTACATCTCGTCAGCCACTCCGCTGTGTCAAGCCATCGTTCGGCTGATATCGCAGGAGCGGTTGAACGCGTTAGTTGGACGTGACGTCCTGTCGGAGAAGTTGGTCAAGGCGGAGGCGACGGGGTTGTTGCTGAGCCGGCCTCGAGCGAGGCGGAGAATCAGCACCTCGTCCGAGCATTGCGTGCGGGGCCTCGAGCGAGGCAGAGAATCAGCACCTCGTCCAAGCCTTATGTGCGGGGCCTCGAGCGAGGCGGAGAATCAGCACCTCGTCCGAGCCTTACGTGCGGGGCCTCGAGCGAGGCGGAGAATCAGCACCCCGTCCGAGGCCTTACGGGCGGGGCCTCGGGCGAGTTGGGGTACTGTTAAAGGTGGGCCAGGCGGTCCAGCCGAGTCTCGGGTAAGGTGGGGGTTTGTCGGTAGTTGTCTTTTGGCTTCGATTTTTACAGGGTCTAAGCGATTTTTTTGGTTCTTGCTTAGGGGACCCCTTTTTATGGTACCCGATAGTAGCCCCCGAGCCTCGAGGAGAGCATGAGCGCTCTTCCTGAGGTTTTGACTAGGCTAGGCTTGTGGCAGCTCCTAGCGGAATGGTGTTTCGTACTCGAGGCCTTGGTGGGTGCGTGCGAGCGCACCCGCCGGGTGTAGCCCCCGAGGCCCTGGAGGAGTGAATTTATTCCTCTAGGGGCTTTTCATGTTGAGCGAGGGGTTTCATCGCGTTTTGCCGAGTCCACGAGTGCGAGTTCGGGTCGCTGGGCCCCGACATGGTTGCAGGAAGAGTCCCCGAGCCTCTACTCAGAGCAAGAGGGCGATCAGGAGTTCTCCTGTCTTTTTTATGCTACCCTCGCATATCCTTTTCGTTCGGAAGGAGAGATGGAGTATGCCAGGCTACCCTCGGCGGGCGCGAGCAGTGACACCTCCGGTGAGCTGTTATCGGGTAAGTCCAAGTGGAGGCCCGTGCCTCGTTCGATAGGGGTCGGCTAGCGGTCCAGAGACGCACTCCAAAAGTACCAGAGGGCTTCTCCAGTGGGTCCTAGGGCCGTTCGATTGGCCCCGGGGGCTCAGTGCCTCCCTACAGTGGGATCCCATTAAGAGACTTCCCTGCCGGTCTTGGACACGACTTAGGGCATCCCAAGCATTTGCTTGCTTGGGCCTCGGCCATGTATGGGCTCACCCATAGTCATCCCTGACTCTGTTTGTCCTGGGGCGGATGTCGAAACCTTCGGGGGCCCAGCCTTCGAACCCCTGGACCGTAACGGGCTCGGTGACCTTTATCGCATTTTGCCGAGCCCCTGAGTGCGAGTTTGGGTTGCTTGTCTTCGACCTGGTTGTAGGAAGAGCCCCTGAGCCTCTACACGGAGCGAGAGGGCGGTCAGGAGTTCCCCTGGCTTTTTGTGCGACCCTCGCGCATCCTTTTTCGCTTGAAAGGATGGGTTGTTTGCCGAGCCCTCGAGTGCGAGCCTAGGTCGCTGAGTCTCGGCTTGGTTGTAGGAGGAGCCCCCGAGCCTCTACACGGAGCGAGAGGGCGATCAGGAGTTTCCCTGTCTTTTTGTGCGACCCTCGCGTATCCTTTTCGTTCGGAAGGAGGGGTTGTTTGCTGAGCCCTCGAGTGTGAGCCTAGGTCGCTGGGTCTTGGCTTGGTTGTAGGAAGAGCCCCCGAGCCTCTGCACGAAGTGAGAGGGCGATCAGGAGTTTCCTTGTCTTTTTTGTGCGACCCTCGTGCATCCTTTTCGTTCGGAAGGAGGGGTTGTTTACCGAGGCCTCGAGTGCGAGCCTGGGTCACTGGGTCTCGACTTAGTTGCAGGAAGAGCCCTTGAGCCTCTGCACGAAGCGAGATGGCGATCAGGGGTTCCCCTGGCTTTTTTGTGCGACCCTCGCGCATCCTTTTTGTTCGGAAGGAGGGTTTGTTTGTCGAGCCCTCGAGTACGAGTTTGGGTCGCTGGGTCTTGGCTTGGTTGCAGGAAGAGCCCCCAAGCCTCTGCGTGGAGCAAAAGGGCGATCAGGAGTTCCCCTAGCTTTTTGTGTGACCCTCGCGCATCCTTTTCGTTCGGAAGGAAGGGTGGAGTGTGCCAGGCTGCCCTCGGTGGGTGCGAGCAGTGACACCTCCGGTGAGCTGTTATCGGGTAAGTCCGAGTGGAGGTCCATGCCCCCATTCGATAGGGGTCGGCTAGCGATCCAGAGACGCACTCCAAAAGTACTAGAGGGCTTCTCTAGTGGGTCCCAGGGCTGTTCAATTGGCCCCGGGGGCTCGATGCCTCCCTTCGGTGGGATCCCATTCAGAGACCTCCTTGTCGGTCTCGGACACGACTTAGGGCATCCCGAGCGATCGCTTGCTCGGGCCTTGGCCATGTATAGGCTCGCCCATAGTCATCCCTGACTCTATTGTCCTGGGGTAGCTGTCGAGACCCTCGGGGGCCCAGCCTTCAAACCCCTAGACCATAACGGGCTCGGTGCCCAGTTCCTTCGTCTGAAAGGAATCGGGTGGGGGATATTGCCCTTCCATTGGCTGACAACGGCAGGTGCGCCTTTTGAGGCTGTTTCTCGGGGAGACGGAATGATGCCTACCGTCACTGCGGTCGGATGCAACGCGATGTCAGCGGATGGGACATTACTGTGCGTGCACGATTAATAAGGGAAAGGTGGGCGCGTGGGCGGTTTAATCGGATCCGGATTAACTACGCCAGATCTGAGGGAAACTTCCCTGGTTTCGTCGCCTATCCATTTCACCCCCCTCCTACATAAATACATGATGAGCTTCGCCCCTCTCCTCCTTACCTTGCCTGCATTCGCCTTTTCTACCCTCGAGTCGTCGCTAAGAACAGAGAGCACCAGGGAGAAGGA